TTAGTTTATTTTATTGGTTATTTTTCATTATGTATTTTTGGTTTCGGTTTTTCAATATTTTTTTAATTAATTTCTATATTCTTGCATTTATCACCGTAAAAAGAAACAAAATAATATGTGAAATGTATTTCTAGTCTTTTTAAGTTTCATTACCTTGATTTGACGCCAATAATATCGTAATTGGCTTCTCCTATTAATTTGGCTACAGAATTTTTTTAAAAAAAAAATCTTTGTGAATTTATATTATGTATTTTTACTATATGATATAATTTCACTAATTTATTATTTTATTTTTTTATTTGTTCTATCGTGTTATTTTTTCTATAAGTTTTAAAAATTTATTATAAAATGGAAAAATATATGCACGGATGTACGGATTAAAATCTAGTATTTTTTAATTTAAAATTTAATTATAAAATAAATTACACTAATATCATATAGGTTAAAATTTATAGTGAGAGAATGTACCTCTAAGGTCATGTTTATTGGGATTTTTATAATAAGATTATTAATTTCGATTAAGATACGTTTTTCATCTTTTAACTAAGAAAAATTAAAAACTAATTTTTAAATAAGAAATATAAAAACTGGATCTTATCCAAATAGTGTAAAAAAAATCAAATCACAAGTTTAGAATCCATCTACCCTCTAATAAACATTCCTTAATGTTGCTTGATGCAGAAGAATAATTAAATAATCTGATACGAGGGCAATCATTCGATATTTGTGTCAATGAAACATTTTCTTGGACGTCATCGTTAAAGTCTGAAAAAGAACTCTCTTTTTATAGGTTCACATCTCATATACAAACGCTTTTGAAGCCACAAAAATATCTTTCATACGTTATATAATATTAAAAAACAAAACCCACAAAACTTAAAAGAACTTTGTTTTCAATTATTTGCTGTTTATGACAGATAAAAAAAATTTATATGCATAACCTAAGTATTACATTCCAACGTACTGCACAAATGTTAAAATTTTCCTAAGTGAGCTGTTGTAAAAACAAAACCAAGGGAAACAAGAAGAGTAAACAGACACACAAGAAGAGAAAAGAGGAGATTCTGGAAAGGTAGAGAGAAAGTTAAGAACAGCCAAAGCATTGTCTCAAAGAGAGAAATCCGGATGGTTCAGGGATCGGTTCCTGAAGAAGATCCTGTTTTGTACCCGGAAGATGTTTAAAGAAGGCCTTCACAGCTCCAGCCACACCATCCTCATCCTTCATCGCCTTAGCTAGAGTCTCTGCACTGCTCTTCACCTGCTCCCAGTTACACATGCTCAGTTTCATTTGTTAATCCAATGGCAATGCCCATGATCATAACCAAGGATGAGCACATGATCAAATTTACCTTGTCGTCAAGCATGAAATTTATGGCATCTTCAAGCTTATGGAGTGAGAATTCGTCTACTGGGATTGGTGGAGGACCTACTCCTCTATCGTGAACTCGTTCTCCCCAGAAAGGTTGGTCTCCAAAGAAAGGCACTATTGTTGTTGGGCACTGTGTGGTCAAGAAAAAAAAGCAAAACACTTGAATATTAGCAACAAACTCAAGAGACAGACTTTGCAGCTTACACTCAAAACTAAACATTACCGCTGCTTTAAGACCTGCAGCCGTTGTTCCAGCACCACCATGATGAACCTGAGAGCAAGAAGGGTAACATAATGTGTGAATGGCTCTTAAAATTTGCAATGAGAAACACACATTGTAGACATACCACTGCCTTGCATCTTGGGAATAACCAGTCATGTGGGACATTATCCAACAAGTAAACGAAGTCCTTGGGTTCTTTCACTGTATGAAAGCCACATCAAACATATGTATTATAACAATTAACCAAACAGGCAAGCGTTTAGTAAAGGAGATGTCATACAGTTCCCAAGGCCACCCCAGCCTTTGTTAATGATTCCTCTCTGATTGGTTCTTTGAAGTGCTTCCACAATTATTTCAGTCATTACCTCTGGTTCTTGGACAGGCTTTTACCACAAATAAACACACAACGGTAGGCACATTATTTTCACCATAGATAACGTTTGAGGTGTGATAAGAGGATCCAAAGAAAAAAACTCACGAGACTACCAAAGCCGATATAAATAGGTTTGTCACCAGCTTCTAGCCATTCCACAAGTTCTGCAGGAGGTTCATAGTTTGATGCAAGATCAAGGAAGCAAAATCCCACTACATCAATCAGTGGTCCCCAGTCTGAAATAAATGAAAAGCAACTATCTCAATTGCTATTCATTACAACAGTAACTTCATTAGTCATGCTACCTTTAGGCTTTGGGACAAGATGAGGACTCCACATATACCCATATGGAATATTATAGCCAGAGCTTTGTGTTCCACTTAGATATGTAACAGGCCGTAGCTTCAACTTCTTTTTCCTAAGGTCATTTACCATGTCCCTTATTCCAAGCCAGATCAACGAATCAACGATTTGATAGGAGAGCTGAAATTGCATTAACTCAATGTTAGAAGAAGAAGAAGTGAAGCTTTATAGCAAACCAATCAGATAATATCTAAGTAAATTAATCTCACTCTGTATCCTGCTGATTGTTTGACACGTGACAAAGGGTGTGGAAATTCACTGGTTGGCCTGAATCATCATTTAATAGCACAAAGATAGTGTGAATAACGCTAAACAAAAAAATTATTAAAAGAAGTTTAACATAACGTTTATTTGGCCAGAGTATATTGCTAATACAAACACTTACGTCCAAGGCATGGTGAAAAATACATGAATCGGTATCTTCAGAGCTTCTGCCACATGAGTATGTCCTGCAATTGCATTTCCAAGTTAGTTCCCATTCGAAGAGAATCTATGATGTCTTGAAACGTTATTCAAAACATCTCAATGCTTCACACCAAGCTATGAATGTTATTCAAAAGTTACTGAAACTAACCATATGCTGGAGGATTGGCGATAATAGCATCGGCTTTAAAGGAAATCCCAGAATCTAGATCAGGTTCTTTACATGCTGGAAGTAGAGAATATATGATGTCTTTCATTTGGTTTCGTTGAATTGGAATCTCTGAAGGGCCTGATGGCAAAAACCCCTTGTTCTTAACCATATCTGCAGACAATGAATAAATTGCTGAAAGCTTTGAAAGTACATGTAAAGATTAGGTAACAAGGAAGAAGAGAAGAATGGTAGATACATACATTCGGCTAGCAATTTTGGATCTCCACCTAAAGGATAAAACTCCAATCCAGCAGTCAAAACAAACTCTTTGAAATTTGCATGAGTTGCAAGTCTAATTCTATGTCCATAGTCCTGCATAAGTAAAAGTTTAATAAAGCATAGACTAAAAGTCACCCCACTTGTAATATTTTATCTACTAACCTGAAGACGTTTGGCTATTGCAACAAAAGGCTGAACGTCTCCACGCGTTCCAACGATTAGCATCACAATCTGCATAGGAGGAATGTACTGAAAGTCTACACCATCAATAGACTCATAAGGAGAAGCACCGATTTTGGATTCTTCACGGTCTGAAGCAATAGGCTGTGGGATAGAATCTGCTGGAACTTCAAACTCAACTGTGCCATCATGTTTCACATTAGCTATACGGTTCAGCAACTTTAGCTTCTTCTCAGCAGAGATTCTGTCGTCGAATATCTTAGCAGCATCCTCGGCAAGAATGTGTGTAACTTTTTGCTGCCTCTCAGTCTTTGATTTATGTAACCTAGGCTTTGAGGATGATGATGATGATGGTTCAGCCCTGTCACTGCTTGAAGATCTATCCATCGGCACTGACCATTGTCGAGACAAGCTTCTCTTGCCACCACCTGAAAACCCCCAAAATCATCCACAAGGGAGAAAAGATCAAAGATACAAACAAAAGGAACAAACTTTTAGGCTAAATTGTTTCAATACAACTCCACCTTCTCGTTCAATTGCATGGAGAAGGTAAAGATAAGAAGATACCTAAAGATTCAGACACAGCGTTGTCGGCAATGGAAGCTGGAGCAGTTTCCGGTTGTCTCTCCAGTTCTTGAGAGCCATTGACGAGACAACTATCACCACCATCGCGTTCAATCTCCTCGATTTTCACGGAAGCATGGTCGGAGCTTGAGGAAGATAAGGAAGAAGAGGAGGAGGAAGACGAAGCAACCTTGTCAAGATTAGCCGGAGATGTTTCCGGCATCGTATTGTATTATCTCTCTCTCTCTCCCCTTTTAATTATACGTTTCTCTTCTTGCTTTTTTTTCTTGCGATTTTCAAGATTGAATTTTTTAAAAGAATGAAAAGAAAAGGTTCGATCTTTATCTCTCTCGAGAGAGAAGCGGTACGTTCGGACAAAAATGAGTCGATGTCTGCGTGATGATGATTCAGACAAAGATTTCGCAAATAACTGTCGGAACGCTGGATACTTCCGTCAATTTCTAAATCGAAGCATTTAGCTCAGAATAAATAATCTTTAGAAACGCTGTCGTATGTTTTGACAGCGAATCTACCTCTTTTTGTCTCTTCGTATTTTTACGTCCCTGTCGTCTTCCTTTTTTCCCTCCCCCTCCTCCTGGATATTTATTAGTTTCATCATTATTAAAAAAAACATTTCACAAATTTAAGATATTAATTTCTCAATCTGTGCCCAACAGAAAACATCTGACCTATATTAATTTAATTAATTTATTTAGCATTATTGTTTAACAAACATAAGGTGCTGTGGTGTAGGGGTTATCACGTTTGCCTTACACGCAAAAGGTCTCCAGTTCGATCCTGGGCAGCACCATTTTTGCTTCTAAGGTTTTAGAAAGAAGTTAAGGATGACTGTGTCTCATCTTTTACTCCATCTTGAACTAAGCCGTTAGGTTTTTTTTCCTTTACAGAGCAATTAGTTTGATTAACTCACTAGTCACTACACAACAGTATAGAAAAATCTTGACATTTACAATAGAAAAGGAAGCCATAATTAATTACAAAAAAACAAAGCATGGAACACAAGCTGATTTTGCACTCAGCTACATTTGTGCAGAAGAAGAAAACAAAAATGAACCTACTTCCTTAGACTTCCTTGGCTTTTATATTGAAACTACCAAAGAGAAATTTACTATACTGTCTTCCTAAAAAGCATACATGATTCTGCTACTAGTTTTAAGGTAAAGGAAAAAAAAGCAGAGAAACAAAATTGCCTATATAGCTTAGAGAAAGAAAATGAAACAACTTAGGCTTGGTTTTGGTAACTAGCACGACCCCTTGAACGACCACCATTACCCATTCTTCCACGTCCACGACCATAGCCTCTCCCTCCATCATACCAGTCCCCTTGTCCTCCTTCATATCCATCACCTTGGTCTTCGTATCTACCATATCCACCTTTGCCTCCACCATATCCTCCAGCATACCCGTCTATCTTTGCTGTAGCTTGATACCTAAGCACATTTATAAGAGTTTATTGTAAAGTAAAATGCCATAAGAACTCACCAGATATAGCAACTGAGATGATTTCTGCTAAGCAAACAAACAATATGAATTCGAACTTTCCAAGTTCCAAGAAAAAAGAGTGAAACCCACCCGGGAGAATCTCGATTTAGCTTACTGAACGACAATGTGATTGAAATCATGGAAACATGGCGTATCAACTCCACCCTGCATCATGAAGTTAATTCACTAAAACCCAAACAAAAAGGAAACAAAGGAGCAGAGTATAATGCAATGAGACTCACGGTAGAAGACCCTCTTCCATAGGCTCAAACACATCAGTGATGCTCATAGAACTGATATGAACATCTTGATGCAAGCCTGGAACTTTACTTTGCAGTATAGATTACAAAGATCTTAGTGCACAATCAGTGATAATATTCATACAAAGATTTTATCAAGTGAGTATCCCAAAATTTCTGGACCGAATAGTCTGTTTAAACATTACTAAACCAAACCAAAAACTGAGTTTGCATTGTACCGTCTCGGTCCGGTTTAGTAAATAATTTAACCGGTGATCAATTCCATTGACTCGCTTCCTCTACAACCCGGCGACCAAGGAGATCTGTGCGTACGGAGGAGAAGAAGGCTGAGAAATCACGCGACTTTTTCGAAGCTTATCTCATCTTATCTCATAAAGTATTTGACTTTACTGGTAACTAATCTCCTTCGAGTCCGTAATTGAGAAACCTCTGTTTGATTTTATTCTCTCTCGCATCCAAAGATCATAACTTTTTCACAAGTCTCGTGATACGTAGGATTTTGACAGTAGCTGGTTGTGTGGGGGGGGGATTAGGATGGATCTTGAAACTGAGAATCGAATAGCTTCGGTTCTGTTAAGAGAAGCAGCAGAGTTGAGGAGACAAGCTGAAAAAGATGGTGTTCGAGCTTATCTTGACAAGCCTAATGTTAGGCATCGTCCTAACTCTAGGTTTCTCACTGCGACTGTCCTTGGTGTTCAGCAATGTAAAAAGCTTTTCTACTCACCCTTTTACTTATTTTCTCTTACATTACAAGTTAATATTGAAAAGGAGAAGTCTTTTGCATCCGCTGTAATGTTTGACATTTGTTTGTTCGTTTGAATCAATAAGCTGCATGTGTTGGAAATTAGTTTCTTTGTTAGTTAATGATTGAATCACACAATAAGAAAGTTGGTGGCATCTGAAAGTTTTTGCTTGTTCAATGTTATTTTATCTGTTTAAAAAAGAAAAGAAAAAGATATATATTTTTAGTGATTGACTATTGACTATGATATCTTGTTTACACAGGGTTTGTGACTTACGTAATGTCATTAGTACTCAATGTAGCTTAACATGTTAATTGTTTACTTACATGTTCTTTTTCTTAACCGTACAGCAAACAGAGCGGTAGAGACCAATGAGATGTGGAAGGCTCGGGAGAAAGAGATTGAATTAGAAAACGAGAGACTCAAAAGAAAATCAAGAGAGGAAAGTAGAAGCAGTAGCCAAATGAAGCGGAGTGGTAGTTTCTCGAAAAGGAGTTTGGATAAGAGATGTAGTTCCAGTGATGATAAAAAGGTTACTCATCCATCATCATCATCGGATAAAAGATTGTACTTGGACGATGATGATGAAGGCTTTGGAGATGATGAGATTGAGTCTTTCCTCCAGTCACGGTAATCTCTATTTGCTAGCTTCTGTTACCTTTTGAGTTTTCTATAGCTTCCTTCATCTATCTATGACAGGAACAAACGTGGAAGAGGCTCTATCGGTCCTAGGATGGATGAAACTGGCCCTTATCTTCCTGCCGAGAAGGTAGATGAGTTGCGAAATTCTGAAACAATGGAACGGAAGGTAGTCTTGGGACCAGAGAGGCCATCTTCACTGAGACAACATTCAGATGACAAAGAGAAAGAGCGTGTTCGGAGAATGAAAAAGGACTCTACGAAGAAACGTAGTAAAAAAGACAAGAAAACAGAGAAGAAGAGAAAACGGGACAAACACTAGATGTTGTTGACAGTTCTTGCTACAACTTTAGTTCCGAACACTTTGTAGATTATATACAGTTTGTATGTGTAGATTATATACAGTTTGCAACTCCATCTTCTCAACCTCGCTGTGAACTACTTGCCAACAACAGTAGCCGTAGCTTGACTTACGAAGAGCCCATTTTGTAAAGCCAACACTTTATCTGCCAATACAGAGTGTTGATCATTTATCTTCAATGACATTAACAAAGTCAACGTGTCTTTATTATGCGCTCATGCTCTGTAAAGATATTTGATAATCCAACGCACTAGTTGAGCAAAAGAAAGGATCAACAGTAGAAATCAAAATCGCTTCATGAAGCAAAACATGTCTATATCGAAAGTTTAATACACCAAATAAGATTGTTTGTTTAAATCACTCATTCATCGGCCATTGGTACTTTTGCATCGATTTGAATTTCGTCTCCTTCATCAATGGCTGTAGCTTTGTTCTCGGCATAATCTACTTTGAAATCATAATCTCCATCCTCACCACCTGATGCTTTCTTTGCCTTCTTCCTCATATTCTTCTTCTCTGCTTTCTGCTTCTTTGTATTCAACATGCTTTCAGCTGCGTATAGTTCCTTGTTCTGTTTGCTCGTCTCTGATTTCGACTTTACTGTCTCTTCCACCTTTTCCATAGACTCATCATCACTCTCAAGACCTGCCTCTTCTTCTTTGGGCTGAGTCTTAGACTCATCCTGTGATAAATAACCAATGGTTAAAGCATACTAAGCAGGTTTCAAAGCAAATGGAATATGAGTGAATTTACAAACCAACCTCGAGCATAGTTTCATCAAAACTGAGAGGACTATTCGAAGGAATCTCAACAGGGTTGAAGTCGTTAGTAGTCCTCAAACTCCCAATAAAAGAGGATTCACCACTGTAAACCTCATCAATGTTGAACTCCTTAGCCAGCTCGGTCACAATCTTTGACTCTGTGTGTTCACCTTGGTCCCTCTTTGGCGGCATTGTATAGAATGGAATCTTACCTGCAAACACCATTTAGTTAAAAACAGGTTTTCAAGATTCCATGTTTATGAGTGAACTAAAAGATGATAATCACACCTTCATTCCAGTCATGCAAAACAATCCTTGCAGCAGCTTCGGTATCAACAAGACCACCCTTCTTAACCTTACCTCTAAGGGTGGCAACTTTGTGAAGAAAATCATCAACTCCCTCAAAGCTAGGGATTTTGTACAGAGTCACCAGCATCTCTGTTGTACAAAGCTTGAGAATTTCCTTCACTAAATTCCCCACAAAGCAGAAGATTACAAAGTTAGATCACTGAGGTTTTCAACCTTAACAAGACAAAGCACAAAACGATATTCGATTCTATTACCTGGACTAACTGGATCTTCCAGCTTCTCGATTTTTTTACAGTTCCTAAGAGCAATAGAAGCATCATTTGCTGAAGATTTGAGCATCACAACTCCAGGACAATCCAACAGCTTCACGTTGTTGTCCAAATGAACCTCTTGCATTGACCTAGTCAGTCCAGGAGTGGCACCGACATTGACAACATGAGCTCTCTTCAAACTGTTGATAAGACTACTCTTCCCTACATTAGGCAGTCCGATAATACCAACTGTAATAGATTTTTTCAACTGCCAAAACCAAAACAACAAAAGAAAGTTAATTCAAAAACTGGATGATGTACTAAACCCAAGGGTGATCAGATAATAAAAAATATGAAAAAAAAAAGTAAACCTCATGACTTCTCGAGTAGTTTTTAAGCAACTTGATAAGAGTGTCTGCTCCAAGACAATCACTCGTCTGCAAAATATTGCTTGGCTTTGATGCCTTTGACGAGTTTTTCCCACCCAAGTTTGATCTCTGTTCCTGGGTGCTACATTTGAACGCAACAGCTGGATACTCTTCCCTAAGGTACTTCAGCCACTTCTCAACAGCCTCTCTGGGAACAAGATCTGTACAAAGAGATTCGTAACAAAAAGTAATCAACACCACTAACTCTTTTTATACCCATAGAGCAGAGACTTAAATGGAAAGTTCTTACCAATCTTGTTAAGAAGCAAGACGTGGTGCTTATTGGGACCAGCTTCCGACACCATCTTTTCCAACTCAGTACAACGCGTGCCAAGGGGATCACGAGCATCAAGAACCTCAAGAATTACATCAGACAGTTCAATGACTTTAACAAGCTCCTTCAAGAAAGACCTCTCCGAGTTATCTGTGAAACAAATAGACATCAGTCAACATTGACAAGTGACAACTCTAGTTGAGTCAAATGCACAATAACACTCACCACGAACATTGACAACTCTAGTTGAGTCTTCTGTCTTCGTATCATCATCCTCAACCAATAAACCAAGCTTCCTCTTTTTCGCCTAAAAATGCAATAATAAAGTGAGACCACAACAAAAACAGCACAAATGAAATGTCTTTAAACAATTGTACCCTCAAAAAAAAAGACTCAAAACTTTTTTTACAATACATAAAACGAAGATTAAAGAAAGACGATAATACCCTTTCTTTACGGGCGGCTTTCTTCTGCTCAATCTCATCTAGAGCACGGGCACGTCGAGCTTCCATGTCCTTGAGCAGCTGTTCCTTGAAAGGCCAGTCATTGGGGATACCTGGATCCTTCTCAGCTCTTGGCTTGCGGTTATGGTTGAGCTTCTTGGCTTCCTTCGCCTTCTTCTTGTGGTGCTCCTTAACCTTTCTAATGACCTTGTGCTTCTGCTTCAAGGGCACCCTTTTACTCTTGCTCTCTGCAAAATTTTAAAAACAATTCAATTAAAGAAAGAACTTTCCTGAAACTGAGATTCGAATTGAGGAGGTTTAGCTTACTTTTACTCCGTTTCGGCATCTTTTTTGTCGGAGCGGAGGAGTAAAGAGAAGAAACAGAGTAGGTTTGGGTTTTAAGGAGAAGGAAGATAACGGCGGGTTTTAGGGTTTTGCTTTAGAGCTTGGAGTTCTGTTTATACGTTTTTGGTGGTTGTTTTTTTTTTTTTGGTTTTAGAAATTGTCGAATTGAACCGAACCATATTTGGTTTAGGTTCCCTTCGATTTAATTTTTGGTTTATTCAATTTAATTTTGTAGATTATTTATTCTGTATTTATTGTGAGGGAAAAAAACACAAAAAGTATAAGGTATTTTTTCTCAAATATTTAAAGTTTTTATCACAAAAATTATTCTAAAAATAAAATAATTAGAATAGTTTTTTAATTTATAATATTTTTTTTTTAATTTGAAATCTTAAATCTAAAACTCTATCCCTTAATTCTAAAACATAAGTATATATTGGTTAACCTTAAAGTACAAGTGTATTTTTACGTTTAGTAAAAAAAAATATTTTTTTCTTTTTTGTCGGCATCATTTTCTTTCTTAATCTATTTTTATGAAAATAAATTAAAAAAAAGTTATTCAAGAGAAAATTTCTCAAAAATATATTGTGATATTCGGTACAAATCGGTTTATTTCAGTTTATTAGATTAGTATAAAGTATAAACCAACTGTTTCATACTTGAGCCAAAAATGATTAAATTTTAAAATTCACCAATCTACTTATAGCTTCAACCGGATGTTAAAAATAATAGATTTGGTTTAAGCCATATCTAGTACTAGGTAGTTCTGGTGGATTTGGAACACGACCAAAAAGATTGGGGTGAGAGAGGCTCGAACTCTCGACCTCAGGATTACTCAGATAGCTATGAGACCTACGCGCTAGCCAACTGCGCCACCACCCCGTTGTGCAAGCTTCCTCCAGCAAACCAAATAACCGTGAAGCTGTGTACACAAGAGGGGGTTGTTAAGAAGAGTGGTGACATATGGTCTTGGATGATGGAGAATTTAGGTCTTGACAAAGATGATGATATAACACAGTTGATGAGATGATGCTAAATCAGAACAATCTGATGCTCGCTCTCTGATGTTTCCATGGCATATACTGAAATTTGATGATGATGATAGTCTTGTAGTCAGTAGTAACAAAAGGTAAATATATACTAGTTAAAGTGGTTGCGTGATTCACATCAGAGAACCTAATAGGTTGGTGTCTCACAACAATGGTATTGATGAATTAGACAGCCTCTCCAAGGAAATAGTCAACCCTGAGTTAGCTGCAGAAGAGGAAGAGCAAGAAGAAGATATTCCTGAGGTCGAGAGTGAAGATGATGGATGGATACACATTGATTGATCTGTCAATACATGTCCTGAAACAAGCGAGGTAAGCCTAGAATCTTCTCTCAAGTCTCTAATATATTATGATTTAGGCATCAAGTGGAGCCAAAGTTTTTGCTTTGAGCAGCTTATAGTTTATGCAGCTTTGTATTTAAAACTGGCCAAGATCGAAGAGACACAAGGTGCGAGACAGGAAGAGCTGGTGAGAAGAATAGCTGATGTTTTAAAGCCAGGAAGGAACATGACGTTGATGGATGAAGATATGTTTGTGAAACTGTTGTTGTGGTCAAAGAGAAAATTTAGAGTCATTGTCTTCTTAAAAGAGTCATTCATAGTCACATTACTAGATACATTACTAGACATTCATAACAAAAATGGTACATTGATTTACAATTTTATTTTTAGAATATGTATTTCGTACCACCATCAACATTACATCCAACCCTTTTGTTGTTTTATTCACTTTATGGAAATTATAATCTTCAAAACATTTTTGTGTATTTTTATATACAAATTGCACACTAAAATTTTAGAGAAATGTGAGGTACAAAAACATGAGAGCAATGAGGTATAGAACCTATTTTCATATTTATTAATTACATTAATTAAACATTAGTTTAATTGTCTATATTAAGAGAAATTCAGAAAACTAACACCTGAAAAATCTAGTTTTCTCCTTTTAATTTTGTCGACGGTTTTGGTGTTGATTTTCTTTTTCTTGATCTGGGGTTTGTTAGATCTTGACGATAAAAAAAAAAAAACATATTAAGGTCGAGATAAAGGGAAAACCCTAAGGGTTTCTTGGGAAAGAAGCAACCCTTGTGTATGATGGATTATAAGGTTTGCTTTGCTTTCTCTCAACATACCCAGGTTTATTTTCTAGATAATTCTTGATTTATCTGAAAATGTCGTGTTTGTTTCATGTCAACGCAGGCATTTTATTGATCTAATCAGACGAGAAAGAAGAAAAGAAAAAACGAGAGATAGGGTTCTTAAAGAAGAAATGAATTGCTTTTCATGTTTTTGTTTCCATGAAAAGAAAAAAGATCCCAGAGATTCAGACAACAGCCGCCGGAGAAATGGTGAGTTCACCGGTAGAGACATCAACAAAACACACCCTGGTAAGCTCAGAAAAAATATTTATAAATTTCAAGATATTTCAGTTTTTATATACAGTATTAGGGTTTTCTAAGTCTAGATTTTTGATTTTTGCAGAGAATCCAAACAAAACTGGGAATGAGCAGAAAAGGGACAATGATGCAAACGAGGAATTTACAAACAATGTTGATGCTCAAACATTCACCTTCAGGGAGCTAGCTACTGCCACCAAGAATTTCAGAAAAGAATGTCTGATTGGAGAAGGCGGCTTCGGGAGAGTTTACAAGGGAAAACTCGAAAAATGTGACAAGGTTAGTACTAACTAAGTTAAAGTTCTCAAGATTAGTTTGACTATCAGATAAAAGAAAATTTATTAATAGTTTGATTATGGCATAGTTTCATGATCTCTGTTTCAACATTTAACAAATCTCTCAAGAAGATAATAATTGGTTGTTTTGTATTCAGGTTGTGGCAGTGAAACAGTTAGATAGAAACGGGCTACAAGGGAACAAAGAGTTCATCGTAGAAGTGTTGATGTTAAGTCTCTTACATCACAAGCATCTCGTGAATCTCATTGGCTATTGTGCTGATGGAGATCAGAGACTTCTTGTCTATGAGTACATGTCTCGCGGCTCACTCGAAGATCATCTCCTCGGTAAAATAATAAAACAAATAACTGTTTTATTGGATTATTACTTCCAGTATTTGATTGTTGATTGAAATGCTTACAGATCTAACACCTGACCAAGACCCGTTGGATTGGGACACAAGAATGAGAATTGCCCTAGGAGCCGCAATGGGTCTTGAATACTTGCATGACAAGGCAAATCCTCCAGTGATCTACAGAGATCTCAAGGCAGCAAATATCCTTTTGGACAGTGACTTCAACGCCAAGTTATCTGATTTTGGGTTAGCAAAGGTAGGTCCTACCGGGGATAAACAACATGTGTCCTCCAGAGTTATGGGAACTTATGGGTATTGTGCTCCAGAGTATCAGAGAACCGGTCAGTTAACCATTAAATCTGATGTTTATAGCTTCGGTGTTGTGTTGTTGGAGTTGATAACTGGTAGAAGAGTTATTGATACGACAAGAGCCAAAAATGAACATAATCTAGTGACTTGGGTGAGTTATATTTTCTCTCTTTAGATTATTAGTTAAAAACATTTTAAGATAAATTTTATTATAAAAAAATCTACTATATTAACCTTTTTTTTTTGCTTTAATTTTGCTTAAAATATTTGAACATAATATCAAGATTGTTTTTGTGTGTTTTAGGCACAACCGGTGTTCAAAGAACCGAGTAGATTCCAAGAGTTAGCGGATCCAAGCCTGGAAGGAGTGTACCCGGAGAAAGCACTTAACCAGGCAGTGGCGGTGGCGGCAATGTGTTTACATGAAGAGGCAACGATACGACCACTCATAAGCGACGTCGTAACCGCTCTAGGTTTCTTGGGAACTGCTCCTGATGGCTCTATCTCTGTTCCACGGTACGATGAAATTCCTTCTCCTCCTCAGCCGTCTGGTGAAACGTCTGGTGATGATTCTGCGGCGGCGGCTGAGGAACGGGAAAGAGCGGTGGCAGAGGCAATGGAGTGGGGAGTTGCTTCGAGAGCACACTCTAGGAACCCTAGTGCGGCACCTTCCTTGAACCCAAGTGCAGCACACTCCAGGAACCCAAGTTCTTCTTGATTTTTTTTTATTTACATTTTTTTGTATTCATGGTATTTTTGTGGATTTCGTTTTTAAGATTCAGAGAATAGTGATAGAAATTGTTGTTACCTTCTTCTTCTTCTCTGTGTTATAATGTTCTGGTTTGTTTCAGTGTGTATATTCCAGCTTGGTTTTCATAGCTCGAGAAATGCAAATGTTCATGGATTCATATTCTTGGTTTCAACATTTGTACATTGATCTGCCCTTGTTTTGTAGTTTTTTTTTTTTTTTTTTTAATGTAGAAACATATATGGCTTAGGCTTATAATCCCCACAAACCGGAAATCAGTGAAATAACACTTTGTATCAAAGGAGGTTTAAACCGAGACACTCTGCTTATAGTTTTTTTTTTTTTTTTTTTTTTGTGAAATTCAAATTTTGTTCAACCCGAAAAATGGGAATTCAGATCCGGTTACAAGCACAATCTGAACAAAATCTATAACTAACGTCTTGTTTTCGTATCAAGATGATTCATAACTATAACTTCGATGTCCATAAAGCTCATAAAAGAGCAGTTAAATAAGCAACACATATTTTGGTGATTTGGTGCTAATTAAACTTGATGTAAAATTATTATATTTAGGTGTCAACACTAAGTATCACATCACTCAACATTTATTATTTAACGAACTTTTAAGCTGAACTGAAGTTAATAGCATCAACAAATCTTGATCAAAGTCAATGAATAAAAAAGGTATTAATTGTAGGCTTGGTAACTATTATTCCTTTTGCAACAAAGTCAAGTCCTAATAAAACTTGGTTACTAAAAGAAAACAAAAACCAGAAACTCTTGTAATATGAACTTCCTCTATAGTCTCAGTTAATTTGTTGCCCTCTTGGTTTCTTTTGGTTGTTATTCTGCATTGAGTAGCTACAAATCAGTTGATCTAAAATGGCATTAATCGAGCTAAAAAACAAAGCCTTATTGGGCCGAAAAAGTTCATATCGGGCCTATAAGAAAGCCCATGTTAATGCTCAAAACATCCGCAAAGTGCGCGTCTCTCTCAGTCTCTCTCTCGTTCATGCTGCTTCTCTGATTCCGCTCTGAATCAACATTGATTGAAACTTGACGCCGATCCGTGTGAAGGTAATTCATCTTCGCATCGTTACCTTTTCTCATCTGGAAAAGATCTTCGATTCACACTGTACACAATGCACCGTCGATCTTGATCGTTAAAGCTCAAAGTTTGTTCCTTTTTTAACCATCTATTCCCCTAATTGAGACTTCAAGGAATTAAAAATGTCAAGTAAGGTATGGAGATGGGTCTTAGGCCTTACATACATACTCGCCGTTGCCATGATTTGGATTGCTGCAAGCTTCGTAGTCCAATCTGTTGTTGACGCCGGCGTCTCTCCCTTCTTGATCACTTTCATTTGCAACTCGTTGTTCGTTGTGTACCTTCCTCTCTTCGAGATCGGTCGGTACTTGGAAGATGCGTATGGGAGTGTACTGTTTTGGAGAAGCAAAAGGTCTCATTTGCTGGAGTTGGTTGAGTCTGAGAAGGATGTTTTGCTTGGACAAGGTGGTGTGGGTGGAGATGTGTCTGAAGGATCAGGTGTTGTTGTTAGAGAGGAGGATGGGATTGGGATTGGGATTGGGATTGAATCTGGTGTGGAAAGTGTAGAGCTTGAGGTTGTTGATGATGTTAATGGTGAGATTTGTAGTAAAGGGTTAGATGAGAAGGGACGTTGGACACGTATGCGTGTTGCTAAAGTTAGTCTTTTGATTTGTCCGTTTTGGTTCTTGGCACAGCTTACTTTTAATCTCTCTCTCAAGTACACAACTGTTACGGTAAGAACATTCTGAATCTTTTTTTTTTTTACAAGCTTGATCTGATACCTTTTTGGTTTTTGTGGGCTGCAGTCAAATACAATCTTAAGCAGCTCATCAAGCCTATTCACTTTTCTGGTATCATTAATATTCTTGGGGGAGAAGTTCACGTGGTTGAAGCTATTCAGCGTTCTTCTTTGTATGTCTGGGACTATAATCGTGAGTTTGGGTGACTCGGAGTCTAACTCAAATGCGACAGCTAAAAACCCTCTTCTTGGAGATGTTCTTTCTCTGCTCTCAGCGGCGTTTTACGCTGTTTACATCACTCTTATACGCAAAAAGCTTCCTGATGATGATGAAAGAAACGGCCGTTTCAGTATGGCTCAGCTTCTTGGGTTTCTAGGTCTCTTCAACTTCTTTATTTTCCTACCTGCTGCTCTTATACTCAACTTTACAAAGCGAGAACGGTTCAACGCACTAACCTTGAAACAGTTGGGTCTTGTTGTTGGGAAAGGTATGCAAACCACATCCCTCATGTTACACCACTGACAGGATATTTGATGATGAAGATGTGTGGTTTTTGTTTTCAGGTTTGTTAGATAATGTCCTGAGTGACTATCTATGGGCAAAGGCAGTGCTTTTGACAACAACTACAGTGGCAACGGCTGGGCTGACCATTCAGGTTCCATTGGCAGCTATTGTAGACAGCTTATCAGGGAACAAACCAAGCTTCACAGACTACATTGGTGCTGCAGCTGTAATGGTTGGCTTTGCAGGCATCAATATTCCTGCGGAGATGTTTTGTAGATCCAAAGAGACATCTATTGAGTTAGAACCTGGGACTTCGTTCACAGGTCCTCCTCAGGTTGTGTCGAATAGCACACAAGTAGATTCTTCAGAGACCCTAGTGTCCTAATTGTTGCATATTCAAAAGCCACCATGATGCTTATATCTTTTTTGCTGTAAATCGTTGAACATTGATATACGAACGTAGCTGGGAAAATAGTAGTTAAACCGTTCAAGATTATGGACTCGGTTTCAATACAATAGCAAAATAAAATGGTTTCATCTGTTTAATTAGACTAAAGTATATACATTGAGATGTCCATACTTTTGCATCACCCTTTGTGGCCATAGCGGCTGCTTCACTTGCTCTTAGTGAGCCATGTGCCATGATAGCTGCAAATTCACGGGAATCTCTTCCTGAATCTTGATCCTAGCATTACCCAGTAGGGGTCCTCTTTCACTTTCTCTTTTACTAGAAGAAGCTTGAGCAACCATGAACATTGTGTCACTCCTATCATATAAAACACCATTTTATTTTGCTAATTGATTCAAATCCTTTGTATGATTATATTTAATATGTAGTCGCCTTGATGGAATGAAGATATAATCACAAAATATACTATAAACATAAGCCATCTTCTTGTTGATTAAGACAGATTGTTAACAGACGCACACTAAAAAGTGGAAAGTAAGAAAGAAAAAGCGGCAACAGAAGAAAAACAAAACCGTCTGATCTTTAGGACAACCATGCTGGTTAAGCAAATAAACGCCTGCACTTGAGAGAAGTTCTATATAAAACAAATGAAGAAAAATGAAAGTGTAGTGCTAGTAAGATGCGCTGGACATGTGAACTTGGGGGCAACGCTATTGATATTAGACATGGAACTGAAGGTTTCTTACCATTGTGAGCTTTCACCCATTCTGTTGGACTTGCCGGTGAATTTGAAGAATCCAATCAACATAACTAGTCGAACCGCCCATCTGGTCCTCAATAAGATGTCGGAGGAGAAGGAAGCCTTCTCGGGGTTGTTCTCCTTGCCTCACTAGGAAACACATGGGATGGTATGACGGATCATTCTCCCTCACTTTCTTTATCAGCCTCATTAGCTTCTTTGACATCCCATTCTCTTGCTCTTGCAGTGTAACCTAAAGTTGCCACAAGAAAAAAGACACATGCCTTGTCATTTTACATGTACTTAAAAAGCAAGGAAGCAGTATCGATGCATATAAACAGCATGAATAATTGCATGGCATGTAGGAATAAATGTAGATGAAAGAGCATACCCTTGAGAGCTCTGCTGCAAAGTCAGCCCCAAGAAGATTTTTAGCAATGTCAGGTGAAAGCATCCGGCCAAACCACAAAACCAATCGAAAACCATCATCATAAATGTATAAGCCTCTAGAATCCAAACTCTCTGCAGCCAGAGGCAATCTCCTTAGTACGTCCTTAAGGTCATCAAGATGTTCTGATGGCTGCAAACATGTGAATTCAAAAATGATTTTAAAAATTTTCTGGGAAAAAAAGATGTTTGATAATGTACATTGCGATAGAGATGCACAAACCTTTAAGAGCCACTCGTCAACACGGAATAAATTGGGATATAAAAGTTTCAATAGCTTTTTGACAGGCAGAGCCATCATGGTGAAGCCTGCTGCACAGCGCTCGTCAAGTGAAGCATCCGCAGGGCCACCTTGAAGAGGAGTGGACTTACAAATTGACAATCCGTACAACGGCAAGAACTTCAGAGACTCTGGGTATATTAATCTAGACCCCAACCTATGCTGCACCGAGTGAAGATTCCGATACTCTCTGAGAGCTTTCACTATCTTTTGTTGTATAGCATTTCTAGCATCATCCAATTTTGCGGACAAGGTTTTCTCAATTGCTGCAGAATTAAAACGGCCATGAAACAGTATCCAAAGTAGCATATGATGCAACTAGAAAAAAAAATGAACGCACCCTACCTAATCTAGCATATACAGACACAATGGCACCGGTGTCTGCTTGTCTATACATCTCTCCAAGATCTGTAACCACTGGTGCAACAGCTGTGTGTACCCTTATACGCCTCTCTCCGCAAGAAGCAGTATATCTTAGTTCTGTTAAGGATTACTGAAACCAAATGATGCGTTCTACAACCTGTAAACCTAACTTCAAACTCAAGTATGTTTTAAAAATCAACTATTCAAGGATACAGCAAAGCGACTTGGAAATACACCGTCGGGGTTGTTAGCAATGTCTCTTCTAGAGTCAGCTGCATTGCATATGCTTTGTCACAGTCAACAGCAGGAAGAGCAAGCAGATCAGTAGACCTTAACATGAAGTTCCCATGGTAGGAAGAGAAACGAATTCCTGCATGCCAAAATATGTAAGATCACAAGCAGCATACCAACGAATATAGCAAATCTTGAGTGGCATAACATGTAACACAAATAAAGATTGTATCAGGAACTGTTAAACCTTTTCCACATCTTATTCGCATAACAGATTCCCAGGCAGTTTCCCTTGTAAGGTCTCTAGCTAGTTCGTGTCTCAACTTATCTCCATGAATAGATGATTTGAAGCCTGGATAATAGTACACCTGTCCTCCAGTGTATTTTGCCAGAGTCCCTACACAAAGCAAAGCTTTTGACTGATAAAGCTCCTCATTTAAAACAACAATATTTGAGGAAGGGGAGAAGGCACCACTAACTAGCCATTGAGTCCAAACCCCTGGAAACAAAACATCAGTGATAACCATTCACGTACCTAAGGAGGCAATATCAGTGTACTTATCACTGAATGCATATACATTAATTCCTATCTGGAACTTGGTACAGTCGGCAGCCATTTGCTTATAGAAGTTGTCTTCCGCTACCCTTAAAGTATATTCTTTGTCAGTTCCATACACACGAGCATCATCTCCGCGCAACTTTAACCGCCCAGCACCCAGAGAAGGTAATGAGTTCTGGATAATTAGCAACTTGCCACCAAGTTGGTTCTGAAATAGAGAGAAAACAGAGTCAACTGTAGACTGATAAAAATTCCAGATGAGATTCCATATAGGACACTGTTATCAAATGAATTATGTGATTTTCATCTGTCATGGCAGCATAGTAACTAACCATAACCATGTACGCAGCTTTGAGGGCTGGACCAAAAGCCGATTCAACATTGACATTGTTTTGAAACATCAGAGGCAGACTGTCTAAAAAGGCTTCCACCACATTTCTAGACTCGGATAGATTGACAAGGAGATCATCAGGCAACGGTACAAATATATCATCTAGATCTGAAACCACCATCATTTGCGGTTGGCTCAAAGACGACTGCATTTCCAAGGTCCAAAATAATATATGAAAAGGGTCAAGTATCTCAGAACCAAAATTCTTGCGTATTTAGAATTCTATTACCTTCATATTGTAAAAGTGTAACGTGCTGTCATAAGTAATAAATCCAATTTGAGTTCTCGGATAACCAGGCAGGTTATCCAAACAAGACTTGATCGTTTGAGAAGCAACCTGTCAAAGGAATAAAAAAGAGGTACGTGTAAGATCTAAATTTGAGGACAACTTGCCTCTAAAAGATCGGCGAGTGTGTGTGTCTAATCTAGTCTAGATCCATTGGCACGTAGTGTATTCAGATAAATTAGGCATACATTGGTCTAACTAAGGAAAAATCATTTATATGCACAGAAAAATTGCAAGGAGCATTCAGCATTTTTACCTCAAGCATCCCACTTTTAGCAGCCGAAAATGAAACATCAATGAGGAAGAAATAGATGGGTGGCATCGGAGGCCGAACCATGTATTCTGTTGGAGCAATGATTTCAACACTGCCCTTTGTCAGCTCAGGCCGTTGATCCATGTCCATTCTTCGGCCAGTAGCGTCCAAATGTGAGAAGTATTCACCAGGTACTGAACAAGAAATTTGACCCATAACTATGAATATTCATGTTATAAACGTATGCCTAAATGTACTAAACATAGAGCCATCGATCAAATAATTTATGGAAAGTAAAATAAGGACATTCCAATGACTGAACAAAGATGACATTCCACCGCAAAAGAAAAAAAATATACACAACCAAATACAGTTCCTTGTAGCTTTTACTAGTTCCATTTGAATCTACAAGATCCCTGATGATAGCTACTTTCTCATCAAGGAAAACCAGAGAATCCCCCAAATGCAATTTAAGCACAAATAGATTATACAAGACATCTGGGCTCCTCCGGCCTCCGGTGACCGAGGCGTACTCCGGCCGATAACCTAGGCTGATACGGACACTCGCCGCTAGTCTGGATCCACCTTGGTGGATGCCAGGATACACCGGGTTATTCAAAAAAAAAAAAAAAAAAGATTATACAAGACAACTGGAAAAAAACTGACTATTTCTAAGAACCAGAGAGAAATTTTACGACCATTAGACAAGGCAAATTCAACCAACAACGACGTTCTATAACACAAAAATCCTGAAGATTTGGAAAAATTACCATCATTAAGCATAGAACATATATTACACCGCCATTTTCTTCCAGAATCTGTAAAAGTCACATACGGATTCACATAGGTGCGGCATCTTCTGCAGCGGATGATGCCACTTGAGCCAAAATCAATAAGTGGTACTTCCTCCTAACCAGATTTAAACGACAATTTTCAAAACAAGGAAAAAGTTCTATGTGGCTCATTTGTAGCACGTGAAGAGTTCCAGATTATCAAAACATGAAAGTAAAAGACTAGATTGTAACTTGTAAGTTTAACGAATACTAACCCCTTCCGGAGCCTCAGCAAGTGGACAAACCACAGCTCCTAGAGGTAAATGCCACCTCGACGCCAGAGACTGTGAACTTGGTATAGCACTAGTTGTCAGCCGTAGATATCTAGAATGGCAATTCATAGGGTATATTTCAGCAAACGAATTTGGCTCCACGTCACCATCCAATGGCCTTGGAAAAGAAGCTTGATCAAGTCCTGGCTCAAGCGACCCCGGAATATTTGTAAGGGATAGCGAATTAAAATCTTCAGCCAAGCCCTGTACGTTGCTGGTCGGAGGCGCATAGCTCGGATGGAGATTCTGCTGTCCTGGATGCTGAGCAAAACCTCCTGCCTGAGGAGGATATGATGACGGAGGACCCTGTAAGACCTGCTTGCTCGGATAACCAGGAAAAGAAGGCTGTGGACTACCAACACCAGGATATGACGGATTAATCGGAGGCCCCGACTGTTGAAAACCAGGTTGAGGAGGAGAAGCATAGCCTCCAGGTACCCCAGAAGACATACTTTGTGGCGGAGGTCCCATTGGTAGCTGTGGGGGAAGAGACATTGGTGGAGAAAAGTGACCTGCAAGAGTTTGAGTTGGTGGTGGACCACTAGGAGGAGGAGGAGGAGTTGGAAAACGCTGAAAAGAGCCACCACCAGGAGGACCATAAGCTGTTGAAGGTGGAGGTCTACTCCCCTGACCTGGAATCTGAGAAACCAAAGGAGGTTGAACAGGCCTCATCACACCCAATGGTGGAGCCATAGGAGGACCAGAAGGCGTGAAAGGCCTTGTATGTGGTCTAAAGCCAACCGTCTCCGGTCCACCGGATTGCGGTGGAACACCTGGAGGCGGAGCAGATGCAAATGGAGAAGAGGAGGAGGACGGAGGAGGAGGAGGTCTAGCTGGAAAATTCGGATAACCTTGATTCTCCCTATTCATTATTGCTTTTACAACAAACTTAACACCTCTAGGCAAGCAAAGGGACTAGAATCAATTACAATCCTAGATTCTACCTATATACTCATCTACTTCCCTATTCACAGTACAGATCCGCCTCTGAGAATCGGACTTCAAATTTCAGAACTGGCAACTTCTGCAATTAACTTTTAATCTCTTCTAAGAGAAGATCTTCTTGTACTATGATTTAGATCGAGAAACTCGCTATTCCGTTCACTTCTTTCTAAAGCTCGGAAAGATCTGGATTCAATCACCGTTGAATATGAGCTGGAGAATTTCTGAATTGACGTTAATTTTGATGATATTGTTAGAGTGGGAGGAAGCTTGAGAATCTGCGCAGCAGGTAACTGATTGTACAGCAGCGATCGGGTTCAGATCGTGACTCTGAAGAAAGATTTGACACGTAGTTTGAGAATCATGCGCGGTGAAGGAGACGATGTGACTGGGCCGAGATCAAGTTTGGGTTGTGTAATCCAAGTATTGAGTCCTATTTTTCTTCATTGAAGAAAAAAAGGAAAAGATCAGTGGTAATGGGTAGTTCTGTCTTTTACACTTTTGGTTCATTTTGAAAAAACATCGTCAACAGCAGGGTTCGAACCTGCGCGGGCGAAGCCCAACAGATTTCAAGTCTGTCTCCTTAACCACTCGGACATATTGACTCTTTTGTCTTCAAAAACTTCAAAACAGTTTTAATCACAAGAAAATGCTTATGTCTCAGTGGGCTTTGTCTCAAAGATAGAGTCTCTGAAGCAATGGCTTTGATTGATCGAATGATGGCTAATGGATCTCCATTGCTACACCTCTTAAAGGGGTCCTTAGCATTTTGTTTTATGAAAATTAATTAATTTTAGAAAGTTAAGGACTTTTAATATTTTGGGTGTCCATTGGTGGTCTCCAAAATGGGGCTCTTACAAATAAAATAAAATTATATTTATTGAAAAATTAATATTAAACATACAATAATTAAACATACTATAATTAAACATACAATAATTAAACATATAAATATTAAACATACATTAATTAAACATACAAATATTAAACACACAATAATTATTATTCTTGATGTCCAAATTTTGCAAATACATTCTCAATTAAATCGGTCTTCAATCGTTCATGTATCCTTTGGTCGCGAAGTTCACTCCGAATGGCAAGTATATTACCGAGATTGGTCGGCATGTTTGTAGAGAACGAGAAATCGACCTCTGAACTTCTGCTTGTTTCTCCTTCAACGAACATAGATGTATCGAACTGAGTGTATCCATCTCGTTCGTCTTCCACTATCATATTGTGTAGTATAATACATGATCTGATAATGTTGCTAATTTTCTCCTTGTCCCAAAGAAGAGCTGGGTTTCTAACAATTGCAAAACGAGCTTGCAACACTCCAAAAGCACGCTCGACATCTTTTCTGGCGGCTTCTTGACGTTCTGCAAATAACTCCGCTTTCGGACCTTGAGGAATAGAGATGGATTGGATAAAGGTGGGCCACTTTGGATATATACCGTCGGTGAGGTAGTAGGCTATATGGTATTTGTGCCCGTTGACGATAAACTCAACTCTCGGAGCTCGACCGTGTAAGATGTCATCAAAAACCGGAGACCGATCAAGGACATTAATGTCGTTCAAAGTGCCCGGTGGTCCAAAAAACGCATGCCATATCCACAGATCTTGCGATGCTACCGCCTCTAGGACAATTGTTGGTTTGTTAGACCCACGACAATACTGGCCTTTCCAAGAGTGTGGACAATTTTTCCACTCCCAATGCATACAGTCAATGCTTCCTATCATCCCAGGAAAACCACGTACCTCTCCGATATCAAGTAGTCGTTGAAGATCCTCTGGTGTGGGTCTTCGTAGATACTCTTCTCCATATAAATGTATGATTGCTTGAGTGAATTTCTCCAAACACAATAAGGCAGTGCTCTCACCCATGCGGAGATATTCGTCAACCACGTCTCCCGCACAACCATAAGCCAACATACGAATTGCTGCAGTACATTTTTGTAGTGGAGATAGCCCGTACCGTCCTACTGCATCTCTTCTATGTTGAAAATAAGGAATTTCATTGGAGAGGCGATTAACAATACCCGTGAATAATGCCCGGTTCATCCGAAAGCGTCGCCTAAAATAGTGAGGTGGGTATGTCGGCTCAGCACTAAAATAGTCGTTCCACAAACGGTTGTGCCCTTCCTCTCGGTTTCTTTCTATGTATGCTCGTGTCGTCGACAATCTAGACTGAGATTGCACTATGTTGTTGTACATTACATCGATTTGTTGGTCGAAATAATCTTCGAAAATGGCTTCCACATTCTCTTCTTGGTCGTCGGATGACGATGACATATTGGAAGGAAATGTTTTAAAAGAGGTTAAGAAAGGAGAAATATAGAGTGATTTTGGGTTTAAATAGAACTCTTTTCTTTTTGGGTGATTTTGGGTGATTGAAGAAGATAAATAGAACTAACTTTGTTGGTGGCCAAAGAACATGAATTGAAAAGCTCAGAACATAAATAAGCTCATACGAATGAGAGATGCATAATACAAGGTTCAGACATGAGTTTAAATAGAGATACATGATAGCAGAAAGAAAAAAAGGAAACAACAATGTCGACATTGCTTCACATGACACAAAACAACAAAGACAAGGTTCACATGACAACAGAGGTTCACATGACAACAGAGTAAAAAAAGCAAACAACACATGACACATAACAACAAAACAAAGCAGTATCTTGTCTGCTCCCGTTCTCCTCTTCTAGTCCACCTGTGCCAGAGAACATCAAAATAAAACAAGATTAGTGACAGAGAACAAAAAAAACAAAACAAAACAATTAAGCAAAATAAAGTTTAAGTTATTGTGAGCTAAACTTTTCCTAATTAGATCATTTCGGACATCAGCTTGAGTTTCAAAGACATTTCCATCTCAGAAAGGAGGGGCTCAGGCTTGTCAAGCAGCTTCTCAAGCAACTTCTGCTTGTTGAGTTTGTCTTTCTTGTCCAACACTTTTTGTAACTGATCGTACGACTCAGCTTGACCACCCTTCTTCTTCTTAGCTGCTTTAGCAGCCTTGACACCCGGAGGCCTACCCGAGACATCCTCTTCGCCTACATCAGCACCACCACCAGCCTTCCGCTTCTCCTTAACCCCACTCTTAGCGTGATACATAGAGCACCATTTCTGGTCATGTCTGAGCTCTCTCCAAGCATGCTCTAGAGTGAACCTTCCTTCATAGTTACTAGAGAACATGTCCAGTGCGTTGCTCATCACATCATTCTCGCTATGACCGCTCCCAAAGTCCCTCAAAGCCGCATCATAGCAACCACAGAATTTGCATACAAGGTCATTAATCCTTCCCCACCTTTTCTTGCACTGACCTAGCTCCCTAGGGACAACCCCAGCATGCTGAACACTTGCGTTGTAGTAATTCTGGATCCTTTTCCAAAAGGTTCCACACTTCTGCTCATTCCCTACTATTGGATCTTTGCTTGTGTTGAGCCAAGCACTGATGAGAATGATATCCTCCTGCGACGACCACGACCTCCTCCCCTTCACAGTAGAAGCTTCTGAATCGTGGCTGCTAACCACAGGTGAGCCGAGGTCTATGGATTGAGAACCTGAGAGGTTCCCAAACTCTGGAGTGCTACATTCTCCGCTTTGGCTTGTGAGTAGGTTAACAAACCCTGGGTAATACGATGACATTTTCTAAGATTGTGTTTTTTAGTTAGTTTCTGTGTTTTCTGAGTATGTGCTTTCACACCTATTTAACTACGGTTCATCCTTAAATGATGTATTTACTATCTAACCTAATACTAACAACCACCCTATGGAAGTTCAATATAGCTTTTAATAACCAATCAACTCAATGCGGTTGAGAAGCAATTACTTTTCAGAAACAATTAATTTTTCAAAAACGATTTATTTATAAAAACTGCATTAATAAGACTCATATAGGTTTCGATTTGAAAATAGTTAAATTTGAAAATATTTTGGAACGAAATACATAGTTAATGTTTAAAAAGTTGAAAGTTTGAAAATAATTTATGAACTCACCTTAAGGGCCACACTCAAGCTCAGACATTCGGGCTGTGAGCTTCCCAACCTCTGCCTGAAAATTTTTTAAACTTTTGTCAAGATTTTTAAGTTACCTAATTGATAAACCAGCTTTTAAAGTAACCTAAGTTATACAGCTAAATCATTAACACATAACCTAAGTCATAATGCAGAGATAGAAGTAACCATTGCATGTATACAACTCACCTTCAGCTCTTGATTATCGGCTTCCAGCTTTTCCAGACGCGTTTTCATGATCCCTATCTCTTCCTCGACTGCACAGACCCAGGGCTGCCTGTAATGCATACCATCATCCTACACAAATATAACAACTTTGATTAAATTCAATTTTACAGACACCTAGATAGAATGAAATATTAAAATTAGTTCACTTGCCTTGTACTCCTTGCAGGTGAAGAACCTCTTCCCTGGTAGATAGTCAAAGACTTCTGCTGGAGCTCTCTCGCGCACTAAGCGTTTCCCACATACACACCGTTCTTGAATTCCCAACATCGAGTCTGTTACAAAATGGAGGCTATCGTAGTGAGCCTTACGCGCCTTCATTGCTCTCCTCTCTTCATTAGGATCCATGAGCTAAACCTGCAAGAGTGTCAAAAAAAGATTGTGGCATCAGTAACAAGAATCGATCCCCAAATGGTTTTTAACCAGAATCAGTAAGAAGAGGAAAGCCCCAAATCGTCTTTGAATCCTAACAAGAACCCTAATTTCAAATCCATCCCCAAATCGATTTGAAAACATAATCTACTCGAAAACAAAACCAAAAGAAGAGGAAAGCCTCAAATCGAACCCTAAACAACTCGTATCCCAAATCCCCTTCGAACCCTAACGAAACCCCTAATTCGAAATTGATCCCCAAATCAATTCAAACCCTAATATACTCGAAAACAAACCCAAAAGAAGAAGAAAGCCCCAAATCGAACCCTAAACAACTCGTATCCCAAATCCCCTTCGAACCCTAACGAAACCCCTAATTTGAAATCGATCCCCAAATCGATCCAAACCCTAATCTACTCGAAAACAAACCCAAAAGAAGAAGAAAGCCCCAAATCGAACCCTAAACAACTAGAATAAAGCATGCAGATAGCGATTTACCGAAGAACACTCAAGATCTCTCGAATCTCCTATAGAATCGCCTTCGGTGGTTTATTTCTTCTCTCTCGCGTAAATGAGTTTGTTTTTTTTTTTCTAAACCAGATTTTGGCAAAACGACGCCGGCTTGTACAAGCCATGTCAGCAAGGACTCAGTCCTAAAAACTCTTAATTAAGGGGCAACTCTTCAAATAAAGCAGATTTATAATATTATAAAAATAAAATTTTGTTAAGGGGCTGGGCTTAAGGGTTAGCGATGGAGATGGTCTTATGGTCCGATTTTGAACAGAATGTGTAAAAGTTAAGGAACATTGCATTGGCCTTGGATCTGCTCAGAAAGTTGAAAGATAGAAAGATCAAGCTCGATGCTGCTAAATACAGTATCATCATTGATAGTTTTTGAAAAGATGGGAGCCTCGACAATGCACTTAGCCTTTTCAATGAAATGGAAACCAAAGGTATCAAACCAAATGTCATCACCTACACTTCTCTCATCGGAGGTTTCTGTAGTGCCGGTAGATGGGATGATGCTGCATAGTTGCTGAGAGATATGATCGGGAGAGAAATCACACCAGACATCATCACTTTCAGTGCTCTGATTGATAGTTTTGTGAAAGAAGGAAAGCTTACTGAGGCTAAAGAGTTGTACAATGAGATGATCACGAGAGGCATAGATCCTAAAACCATTACATAGTTCTTTGATACATGAGCTTTGCATGGAGAACCGCTTCGATGAAGCTAACCAGATGCTGGATCTGATGGTTAGCAAAGGATGCGATCCTAGTATCGTGACTTACAGTATTGTAAGGCCAAACTGGTTGATGAAGCTATAAGACTTTTCTGCACAATGTCTATGAGAGGAGTGGTGGTTGCTGATACAGTTGTGTATAGCGCTCTCATCCAAGGGTTTTGTCAAACGGGAAAACCTAATGTGGCCAAAGAAATCTTCCAAGAGATGGTCTCTCAAGGTGCTCATCCTAATATTGTGACCTACAAAATTTTGATGGATGGATTGTGTGATAATGGAGAACTAGACGAGGCTTTGGGAATACTTGAAAAAATGCACAAAAGTAAGATGGAACCTGATATTGGTATCTATAATATCATCATTCACGGGATGTGCAATGCAAATAAGGTCGATGATGCTTGGGATCTATTTTGTAGCCTCCCTCTCAAAGGAGTGAAGCCTGAAGTCAAACATACACTATAATGATTGGAGGACTATGTAAGAAAACCTCGCTGTCTGAAGCAAATATGTTGTTTAGAAAGATGGGAGAGGATGGTATTGCGCCAGATGATTTTACTTACAACACACTAGTCCGAGCTTATCTCAGACGTAGTGACATAAACAATTCAGTTGAGCTCATCGAAGAAAAGAAGAGTAATGGATTCTCAGCGGATGATTCCACTGTAAAGTTGGTTATGGATATGCTATCTAGCGGTGAATTAGACAAAAGCTTTTTGGATATGGTTTCTGGTCCTGGTCGAAACAAATCATCATCGTTGGATTGATATAAATCTTCTTGGGAGAATTATCATCGAGATAAATCATCATCACAACACTACAACCACTACCAGCAGGATCATCATCATTACCAAGATTCTGACTCTAGTTGCTCCTCTTTCATCCGTGGCTGGTTTGGCTCTCTTAACTTCCCGCCACTAAAACTTAATTGTTGTGTGTGTGCACTGATTCACTTCTTGCGTGTTTGTGGTCAGTCTTGGTTAACTCATTGTGTAGGTATAAAGCTATGATTGAGAGTTTGAGCTTTATGTTTTGTTTTTTAAGATTCTCTTCTGACCAAGTGACACCTTTGGAGCTAATTTGTCTGTGGGTTTAAAGGATCACTAACTAATGTTTTTGGTTCATTAAACCAGTCTGTGTTTTGGTTTCTGATATTTGGGAACATTATTAGGATCAACTGATCCTGATCAGAACCAGATTCCTTGATTTGATGTTTGGATAAGTGAGTTGAATTTGGACATCTACTATAAAATCCCAGTGTTCTGTTGCCAGCCTAGAGTTGACTTTGTATTGAGACCATCACAAACACCAATCGTGATTGTTCAGTTTAAGAAGCTATATCTTCATTATGAAAATAACTTTTAAAAAAATTCAAACTTTAAGAAATCTACAAATAAATTAAATAAACGTGACTTTAGGTGCTTATAATAATTTTCATATATTTTAGTATCTCTCTGTAACAAAAAAAATAGATATTAAGAAAAGAACTTTATAAAAAGAAAATCATAATGCAAGCAACTTCCAAACTCTGCATCATCTTACCTTCATCATCCATAGCTCCCAGATGAAACAAATCGGTGCCATAAGACCACCATTATCGTAAATACCCATTTGGGTTTTTAATTATTTTTTTCATTTTTTTCTAATTAAGAAAAAAAATTAAAAATGAACTAATCGCAGACCGCCACGTGTCAATGGGGCCCACGGACAGTTGAAACAAACCACGCAAACGTCGCTAATTTGGCAACATTGGCTCCCGGTTTTTTCTTTTAATGGGCCCCCTCCCCCTTTAGACATAGTAAAGACTGCGATAATGGTCGTCAAAGTAGCAATTCAAGGAAAGAAGGATATCTAAATTTAATTGATGTCAAGTCGTTCACACCCCTGCCTTTTCAAAGTACAAAACGGTGTTAACAAGGTTTGATCTAACTATCTCAGGAGTCCCCCGAGAGAAGTGACTGAAAGTCTGCTCAGTGTAGAGCCTGAGCTCTCTGGTCAGCAATTGCTCAGGATATTGGGGACACCAACCAGGACCCGAAAGCAGTGTTCATGTTGTAGACTTTTTGCTTGGAGAAACCATGATCAACTACGTAAACAATCCCGTTAGAACAAAAAAAAAAAAAAAGAGAAGCTCCCCTTTTTATTACCTCCCGAAAAGAAAGAATAAAAGAAATTTTTTTGGCGTCTTGTTTATGTGATCGTCTCTTTCTCTCTAACTCTTTCCAAAGTCAATTATTTTACAGAAATCTCGACATGTTTCTTTTTGAACTTTAATTACCATCCCTTTCTTGTTTTCAGTGTCTAACAACGAAAGTAAATCGTAATGTGTTTATCAAGGCATAACAATAATTCACCAACATAATAAATGAATGCAAATGTACGCGCTGGTTTAAGTTTAATCATGAAAACAAAGAATATAATTTGTAGAATGTATAGTAAAATACATACTTGCTTTAAGTGAAAAAAATAAAGAAAAAATAAAAGAAGGGCGTTTAAAAGAAGTTAAAAAGAGCTGTTAAAACAAACAAAAAAAAAGAGAAACTTCTCTTTTTATTACTTCCCGAAAAGAAAGAATGAAAGAAAGTTTAGAACCTGAGAAATACCTTTGGATCCAAAAGTCTCACTCTTCAAGTTTAAATGCATAACTGAACACCTCATGTTAGCCACTGCACAATAGATGAACAAACCCCAACATGCAATTAGTGCAAATGATTATCTTGATGTGCTATTATAAAAGTACATTTTTCAACTCAGTGGAAAGAGAGAGAGAAGATGACAAGACAAGACGACGCAGAAGAAGATTCATGTGAGACTTGATAAAAACTTTCTTTTTATTCTCTTTTTATTTAACAGCTCTTCTATTTTTAACTTCATTAACGGTCTTTTTTCTTTTACTTATGCTATCTTAAGTTTATTCAACTTTTTGAATTTTTAAATCAAACTGAAATTGAGCTTTTAAAACCTATAATCAATCTGGTTTGTTTACTAGAAATTATATTATTTTTTTTCCTGATTAAACTCAAATAAGAGCATACCAATCTGAAAAAAAAAATTTGTTCTTTACGTACTACTAAACTCAGATTTTAAACTTCACAAATACCCCCCCCCCAAAATTTTTTTTAATCATACCAGGTATATGTCCCACGTAGACAATTGGATTTCTGCTAAATACTCTACATTCATCAGTCAAATCTTAACCTACCATACTTATATTCTTTAGAAGTGTTTATTTGGACTATGCAAAAGGAAGAGGATAAAAGTTAGACAAATCAAAGCAAACAACACTATATGGATCATTAATCTTAATATCAAATGTACATCCAAATAAAATAAATTCACATGTGGGTCGCTACTACTTTTGAAGTTATTCACAATGTCTTTTGAAAAATACTTCTTTAGATGGTAATTCACTTAGTTGTCTTGACATACTTTACAGTTTTCTCCAAGAAAATATATATATATATATATATATATATATCTGCTTCTACTTATTCTTCTACAAGAAACCTTATGCAACATCTATTTTAAATTTAATGGTTTTATTCTTAATCAGTAGTTCAGGTTTTTGGTTCCAACCAAAATTTGGCATTGGAAGGGTCTCGTTGTCAAAACTTGTTTCCCCAATGATAAGATTGTCTATAATAACATCATCCAAACACAAGTTTCACTACTTGGGAAGATCTGAAACTTGTTGAAGAAGACATAACCAAGCACAACTACAGACACATAGGAATTGGGAAACAATCATAGAGATCCTCATTGCTAAAAGAAATGTTTAGCGCCAAATCAGTTACAATGCTTGTGAATCCAAGAAAGATTCATGCAGATCGGTCTAATTTTTTTTAATCACAACAGTTTCAGCTGGTTTTTGCTATCCATTCATGATCATTCTCTCAACCAGAACTAGCAGATGATAAAACCAAAAAAAAAGATTTCAAGTTTCTCGCAGATGCCATTGCTAATATCTTAAGCTAAGATCAAAACAACTCAAGTTCCCCAAATTTTCTATCTGGAACATATCTACATTAAGATTCATTCAAGCAAATGGAAACAAAAATCTCAAGCAAGTGTGTTCTCCATAGGAGACACCATTGTCCCAAGTTTGGCATAACGAGTGAATCTGCTACCATGATGCAACCTATAATCTAATATTAGTACATAAGATAATCAAACAAGTAATCGAGCCAACTCAGAACATATGTCAACCTCCAAGGAAATTTTAAACACATGCTTCAATGTCAATAACACATGTCAACCATACTTGGAGAAGAGTACTACTAGGAATATAAAGTGGCCGACAACAAGTAAAGATTATGCAAACACTTCTTCAGTAAAAGTAAAATAATCAATAAAACTCATTTCGTTTACATCAAATCAATAGAGTATAATATTTATTGCTAAAAATTGTTCATCATCTAGAGGAGGTATAAAACCACTTTTCAGCTATTGAATTGTTCATCTTCAGATGAACATAAGACTCTCAGTGTGGTTCTAGAATAATGACGTCTCAGGGTACATGCAATAAACTTTTGTATTAGAGTTTTCTCAGCTACTCTAGTCCAACATTGTAAAACCTTCAAAGGCGAGTGAAGAAAAGTGATTGAGCTGATGTCAGGAGTTTCAGCAAGTATTGAAGAACGAATGTTCTTCTTCATGTCTTTCGAAATCCACACCATATAGCTACCATCACTCTGTAGAAAGGATACTCCAGCTTTGCCATTGAGATCAAACAATACTTGGTTGAAGAAGTAATGTCCAAAGATTGGAACCTGAGAAATACATTTGGATCCAAAAGTCTCACTCCCCAAGTTAAAATGCATAACTGAACACCTCATGTTAGCGCCAATGCACAATAGATGAACAAAACACAACAAGAAATTAGTGGGAATGATTCTCTTGACATGCTATTATAAAAGTACATTTTTCAACTCGGTGGAAAGAGAGAGAGAAGATGACAAGACAAGACGACAAAGAAGAAGATTCATGTGAGACTTGATAAAAACTTTCTTTTTATTCTCTTTTTCATTTAACGGCTCTTCTATTTTTTACTTCATTAGCGGTCTTTTTTCTTTTACTTACGCTATCTTAAGTTTATTTCAACTTTTTGAAATTTTAAATCAAACCAAAATTGAGCCTTTACAACCTACAATCAATCTGGTTTGCTTACTAGAAATTATATTCTTTTTTTTTCCTGATTAAACTCACATCGGAGCATACCAATCTGAAATAAATAATTTTGTTCTTTACGTATGACTAAACTCAGATTTTAAACTTCACAAATACCCCGAAATGTTTTAATCATACAAGGTATATGTCCCACGTAGACAATTGGATTTCTGCTAAATACTCTACATTCATATGTCAAATCTTAACCTACCAAACTTATATTCTTTAGATGTGTTTATTTAGACTATGCAAAAGGAAGGGGGTAAAAGTTAGACAAATCAAAGCAAACAACACTATATGGATCATTTATCTTAATATCAAATATACATCCAAATAAAAGAAATTCACATGTCGGTCGCTACTACTCTTGAAGCTATTCACAATGTCTTCTGGAAAAATACTTCTTTAGATGGTAATTCACTTAGTGTTCTTAACATATTTTACAGTTCTCTCACCCATATATATTCGCTTCTAGTTATCCATCTACTAGAAACCTTATGCAACATCTATTTTAAATTTAATGGTTTGATTTTTAATCAATAGGTCTAATAATTAACAATGTATTTATCAATAGTTTCCGTATTCTTTTTCCCTCTCTCTCTCTCTCTCTGGTTAGATCTTTGGTGAGCATGTCTAATGTACTGCTAGTCTCATATATATATATATATATATATATATATATATGATGTTATAAGTGAAGATTGTAGACGCTAAACAACAACCGAATGTTTCCGAACATTCTTTAATCTCTATACCTTTAAATCCATTTATTATTTGAGTAAAGTGGGTAAATTATTATTGTGCCTTAATAAATACATTAAAATTATAATTCACAATTTAATAAAGATACAGACTTAATCTCTAGGTGTGAAGTGTAGTCCATGATCTCCTCCACCTCTATCAGTTGCGAAAAGTCTCTCGGGATAAGATCCACGTCACCTCCATAACCACCACTATTGATTTTGGAATTGAAATCTAACCTTCTATGTTGGATATTGTCTGTGAAACGGAAAAGATGAAGATGCATAGATAACATCGATAGATGTGTTCTCGAGAATAGAGATGGAGAAGATGTCGGAAGGGAGTCAAGAAGAAGATGTCAATAGGGAGACGAGAAAGTTAGGGTTTGGTTTGAGAATTCGACTTCTAGATCGAAACAATATCGAAAGAGAAAAGGGTGTGGGATTGCTTTTCTTTCTCTGGTTTTTAGGTCTTTGGTGATCATGTCCAATGTACTGTTAGTCTCATATATATATATGATGTTATAAGTGAAGATTGTAGACGCTAAACAACAACAGAATGTTTCCGAACATTCTTTAATCTTTATACTTTTAAATCCATTTATTATTTTGGTAAAATCGGTAAATTATTATTGTGCCTTAATAAGTACATTAAAATCTTAATTCACAATCTAATAAATATATAGATTTAATCTCTGGGTGTAAGGTATACCACAATCTCATCCACATCGATCAGTTGCGAAAATTCTCTCGGGGATAAAATTCACCATCACCTCCATAACCAGCACCACTGTTTTTGGAATTGAAATCTAACCTTTTCTGTTGGAGATTGTCTGTGAAACCGAAAAGATGAAGAGGCATAGATAACACCGATAGATGTGTGCTCGAGAATAGAGATGGAGAAAATGTCGGAAGGGAGTCGAGAAGAAGATGTCATAAGGGAGAGGAGAAGATTATGGTTTGGTTTTAGAATTCGATTTCTAGATCGAGACAATATCGAAAGAGAAAAGGGTGTAGGATTGCTTTTCTGAATTTATGAATGTGATAATTTTAATTTGTTTTAAATAACTTTGAAGGATAAGATAATTTGTTTAAAAAAAAAAAAAGAGAACAAAAATTAGGATTACTCTTTCTCGAACTCAGAAGGTGCGAAGAGAGAAGAGATGAAAACCATCTCTTTATCTGGTTGGAAGTTATCTTGGTCTTCTATCTATCATAATGTGTCTTATATGATCAAAGTGTTTATTAGTGAAACTGAAATTGTTATTAATGAAACTGAAATTGATAACTGAACTTGGGTCTTCTAGGATAAATATTTTAAGAAATAATCATGATTCTCACTATACCCAACCCAGAGAAACCAACCCGGTTTAATCGTTTTAACAGCCAAACCGATGTTGTCCAATTCTCTCCTCGGAAATAACCGGTTTTGATAAACTTTTATCAGCCAAACCGGTTTAACTCGTTTCTTTGTTTCGTCCGGAGGATATATAATCCCGATTCATAACCACACTAGACCCGAACCGATGGAACCAAAGCTGACCCGATACTTAGATTGGATCTCTCCTCTCTTAACGTAGATCCTCGTTTAACAGCTCTCTCTCTCTTTCTACTTCCTCTGTCCGATTTTTAGATTGATTCTAGGGTTTCTATTTGGAAACTCTTTCTGAAACTTCAGAGAGACTTTCCGTGTTCTAGGTTTCCTTGATTTAGGGTTTGAGGATATATAAAATTTGCATCGAATAAAAGATGTATGCTGATAGATTAGAGTCTGATTCTGGAAGCAGGAAGCTTCTAAAGGATCGAATCAATGGCGGTTCTGATGACAACTCTACTCGCTCACGACAAGTGACTGGGAAAAGGTTCGAATTTGTTTTGAAATTCAATTTATTGATCTTTACATCTTTGTTGTGTATAGATAGATAGCTACATTAATGATCTTACTTAGCTTATGAAGACTTTTTAGATATGGAGGGAGATGTTATCTATCTGAATTATTCTTGGTGATAGCTTTTGGCCATGTGTATAAGGTTTTTAGTCTATTAACTGAATCTGTGAGGTTAAGAGATTGGTTTATAATTCATATTCCACTTTTTTTATGCTTCTTAGGCAAAGGCAGGACGATAAATGGGAGCATGATCTTTTCAGTAGTGACAAACCTCAACTTTCAAGTATGTCTTTTCTCACTCACCAATTCTCTTTAGCAGAAAGCTAAGTATGACAAAAAAGTGTTTATGTTTGGTTTTTGTTCATTCTTTGTTTGATGATTTGCTAAGGTCGCAGAGTTGATTCTGGAGATCTTAGAATGAAGCTCCAGAAGAGACATCATGGGTCTCAAAGTGGGAGAGAAGCTGGTTCGGGGGTGCGGGATCTACGGGAAAAGCTCTCTGGGACAATGAATGTGCAACCCAAAAACAGTGACCCGACAAAATCTAAAGTGGAGACGGTGAGACCTAGCATGAAGAGTGTAGTGACTGGACCTGCGACAGAGACTACTGGAAAAACTTCCAGTCAAGCTACCAGGAAGAAATCACAGCAGGTAATATGATTCACTTTTCTTCAACTTATATTTTTCCATCATGTTGAAATAGTTACATTGGAAGAAAACCATTCTTCTGACCTGTGCTAGCGTATGGGTATTGTCCACTACTGTGTCTTAGCTTGTTGTCATTTGGTTCAGGCTGGTGCATCGGTTGATAGCTTTTTGGAATCATTGGGTTTGGAGAAATACTCGACAGCTTTCCAAGTGGAAGAAGTATGTAATATTTTGCCTGTAGGTTGATATATACGTAAAGCTTGCTGTCATCGTGTCATCAAGCTTATGTTCTCTTCTTTTTGATCGTTCTCAGGTTGATATGGATGCACTCATGCATATGACAGATGATGACCTCAAGGCTATGCTTANTGGAATCATTGGGTTTGGAGAAATACTCGACAGCTTTCCAAGTGGAAGAAGTATGTAATATTTTGCCTGTAGGTTGATATATACGTAAAGCTTGCTGTCATCGTGTCATCAAGCTTATGTTCTCTTCTTTTTGATCGTTCTCAGGTTGATATGGATGCACTCATGCATATGACAGATGATGACCTCAAGGCTATGCTTATACCAATGGTAAGCTTCATGTTAAACGTCCACGCCATTTTCTACTACTATGATTTATATCAGTACTGTAAGACGACACTCATAACACTTTGTTCAACATCTTTATGATCTTATCCGTGTTTTTGTTTCAGGGTCCGAGGAAGAAGATACTTCTTGCTTTGGGATCCAAGCGCTAATCGTTTAGTGTCACTTGATGGCTCAAAGCTCAGCTTGATGGTCTCCGGAATTACATTAAGATATTGTCGAAAGGATTCCGGATTTGGCTCTCTTTTTCTCAAATTCTTTTTCTTTTTACTGTATCTGCCCATTTCAAGATGTTAGAATTTTGGCCGTAGACATCTGTAATGTTAAATATAGTGAGACAAACATCACCTGTTTGCATCAACTATGATGTGAGAGAAGCTTTTAAGTTTAAAACACAATGCAGAAGTGTAGGAAAGAAAACCAATGAAGGAAGAAAAATCTAAATGTTTGATCATCATGGGATGAAGAATATCAGAAGATAATACCTAAGACGAATAAAAAGAGTACAGTGGTGGTAATGAAGATGCGCTTCAAGCCAGGTTTGGAAGAACGCTTTGTCTGAGAATCAAACTCCGGCATGATTTGGGAAGTGTCTGGTTCAGACAGTGGAGGCTTCCTTCATCGGTTTCCTCAGAGTTTAAGATGCCACAAGGTACATACAACACACAATTCCATTGCTTCCATNCTAAGACGAATAAAAAGAGTACAGTGGTGGTAATGAAGATGCGCTTCAAGCCAGGTTTGGAAGAACGCTTTGTCTGAGAATCAAACTCCGGCATGATTTGGGAAGTGTCTGGTTCAGACAGTGGAGGCTTCCTTCATCGGTTTCCTCAGAGTTTAAGATGCCACAAGGTACATACAACACACAATTCCATTGCTTCCATCGACATTTTATATATAAATTCGAAATAGATGTTCAATAGCCGTCTTAGCTCAGTGGTAGAGCGCGTGACTTTTAATCCCGTGGCCGTGGGTTCGATCCCCACAGACGGCGTATCTTAACTTTTTTTTCCCTACTTATGCTCAAATTACAACTTTTTCAGAAAGTTCATTGATTAGATGCCTTTTTGCTGATGTTATAATTCATAAATCCACCATTTTAGAGACATCATCAATGGGTACCAAGAAATGTTACAAGAACTCACTCCAAACACCATTTCTGCAATAACTATTAACAGCCCTTCACTTACAAACATTCTAAAAAACTTTATATATCAGTTCAGGGTTTTTCATTTTCCAACCATATGGTTTTGTAGAGTCTGGTTGTCTTCTAACAACCTATCATACTCCAACAAGAGCTCTGAAGACTGCATTTGCAGAGATGAAACACGTCCTTCAACAGTTTCCAGCTTCATTTCTTTCTCTTTCGCTTCCTTCTCAACTTTCTTCAGATTCTCTGCAACACATGACAGTTTCTCTTTCAGCTGCTTAATCTCCTTGGCTGTCTTCTCTTCTTTCTCCTTTAGTTCAGTTCTCTCCTTCCTAAGTTGTTCTAATTCTCCTTTAGATGACCCGGCATTGCTTCTCAAAGTGATTAGCTTTTGGAGATAATGATGTGTCCTGTCAATAACGAAGCCAAGAAACAACACAACACCTGCAAGAAAACATAAAAAGACTTCAACTTTCTTTTACAAGCCAATGCTAATACCTAAGCTAAGAGCAAGAACTCAGTATCTACATTAAGATTTATTCAAGCAAAAGGGAAGAAAAAAACTAACCAATTAGGGAAGCCAAGGGTTTTGTCAAACGGGAAAACCTAATGTGGCCAAAGAACTCTTCCAAGAGATGGTCTCTCAAAGTGCTCATCCTAATATTGTGACCTACAAAATTTTGATGGATGGTTTGTGTGATAATGGGGAACTAGACGAGGCTTTGGGAATACTTGAAAAAATGCACAAAAGTAAGATGGAACCTGATATTGGTATCTATAATATCATCATTCACGGGATGTGCAATGCAAATAAGGTCGATGATGCTTGGGATCTATTCTGTAGCCTCCCTCTCAAAGGAGTGAAGCCTGAAGTCAAACATACACTATAATGATTGGAGGACTATGTAAGAAAACCTCGCTGTCTGAAGCAAAATATGTTGTTTAGAAAGATGGGAGAGGATGGTATTGCGCCAGATGATTTTACTTACAACACACTAGTCCGAGCTTATCTCAGACGTAGTGACATACACAATTCAGTTGAGCTCATCGAAGAAATGAAGAGTAATGGATTCTCAGCGGATGATTCCACTGTAAATTTGGTTATGGATATGCTATCTAGCGGTGAATTAGACAAAAGCTTTTTGGATATGGTTTCTGGTCCTGGTCGAAACAAATCATCATCGTTGGATTGATATAAATCTTCTTGGGAGAATTATCATCGAGATAAATCATCATCGCAACACTACAACCACTACCAGCAGGATCATCATCATTACCAAGATTCTGACTCTGGTTGCTCCTCTTTCATCTGTGGCTGGTTCGGCTCTCTTAACTTCCCGCCATTAAAACTTAATTGTTGTGTGTGTGCACTGATTCGCTTCTTGCGTGTTTGTGGTCAATCTTGGTTAACTCATTGTGTCGGTATAAAGCTATGATTGAGAGTTTGAGCTTTATGTTTTGTTTTTTAAGATTCTCTTCTGACCAAGTGACACCTTTGGAGCTAATTTGTCTGTGGGTTTAAAGGATCACTAACTAATGTTTTTGGTTCATTAAACCAGTCTGTGTTTTGGTTTCTAATATTTAGAAACATTATTAGGATCAAATGATCCTGATCAGAACCAGATTCCTTGAGTTGATGTTTGGATAAGTGAGTTGAATTTGGACATCTACTGTAAAATCCCAGTGTTATGTTGCCAGCCTAGAGTTGACTTTGTATTGAGACCATCACGACACCAATCGTGATTGTTCCATTTAAGAAGCTATATCTTCATTACGAAAAGAACTTGTAAAAAAATTAAAGTTTAAGAAATCTACAAATACATTAAATAAAAGTGACGTTAGGTGCTTATATGTGTGTGCTGGTTTACGTAGTCTTCTTCAAAAGTTTTGGTGAATCGATAATTTTTCTGAATAAAAAGGTTCTGATGACGAAGAAGATTTTGAGGAAATTAATAATAACACTAAAAGATTCGTACAACTTAAGATCAACAAAGAGAACATGCCAATTAAGTGAGAACGGCAATAACAACAAATATGTAGCGGATCTTATGTTATCATAACAACATATGAGATAGAAAATGATAAAACATATGTTGTATTTTTATATATTTTTTATTTTGTTACAAAAGTGAGCTTATCACAAATCCATTTGACTGATTTATAATAATTTAATTATTTTGATTTTGAAATCTATTTAACTGATTCTGAAATCTACTTATTTGATTTTAAAATGTGTGAATTTGTCAAAATTTAAAAATCCAAGAAGGATTTCTGAATCTATAAAATACTAGAACTAATAACTCCAACTAAGTATTTTACAGAAATCTCGACACGTTTCTTTTGGAATTTTCATTCCTCCTTTTACCGTGTGGAATGATAGTGGATCCACGAAAGAGAAGATAACTCGTCCAAAATCAAGAATCACAGAAACTTGAACTTCCTCGAGACGCGATTTTTGAAATATTGCTTCGTTGTTGAGACGCGATTTTTGAAATCTTGCTTTGTTGTAGTAATGAAGTAACTAGTTCGTATTTGAAAAATATAAACTTTTCTAATGGCAAGTCAACAAAACCATTTGCACTATTTGCATGTTGTGGTTTGTCCATCTTTTGTGCAGTGGCTTGTAAATATATAAATTTTTATAAAGGCACATAGAGATTATATATATACTTATATTGGTACTTGAAAATATTCACATGAATACATAAATCCAAATCAAAACTGAAATTCACATGAATACACATGCCAAATCATAGTTATATACTTAAATATATTAACTATTTTAGCTTTATTATCTATAAAGTATCTAAAATGCTTGAAAATATTCAAAAATTACCACAATTGACTATCTCGGTTATCTAGAAATACTCAAAACATCAGAAATATTTGAAATACCTACATGTTCTCATCTACATATCCAAATCGAATCAATTTTCATATTAATTTTATACCTTTGGGCATACCTTGTTTAAATTTATATGTTGTATGTTATTGTTATTTCTGGACTGTTATTTTATATATTTATGTGTCTATAAAGTTCTCAAGTTTCAGAATATTGCTGAAACTTGAGATGTATTATCAACCATATTCTGAAACAAAATATATACATATATAACATGTATATATTTTCTGATAAGAATAATATTATAATAGTAAATAATATTTATGTTTGTCAAAAAGTATGAAGGACACACTATTTCATATTGCTTTAGGTCTCTAACTATTTAGGGACATCACTGGTTGCTAGCTTCTGAACTAGTTAAGAGCAATCATAAGCCAACATTTTCCTCTTGATGTGTAGTCAAAATAGACATTGACTCAGTTTTTTATTGTTCATCCTGAAGCCATATTAACCTTTCAGAATAGTATGTGGATGAAAGGAAGAGGAGAGAAACATCTTGAATATTTCTCTCCGGCTTTATCATTTTAACAGCCAAACCGGTTTTGATAAAATTTTATCAGCCAAACCGGTTTAACTCGTTTCTTTGTCTCGTCCGGAGGATATATAATCCCGATTCATAACCACACTAGACCCGAACCGATGGAACCAAAGCTGACCCGATACTTAGATTGGATCTCTCCTCTCTTAACGTAGATCCTCGTTCAACAGCTCTCTCTCTCTCTCTTTCTCTTCTTCCTCTGTCCGATTTTTGGATTGATTCTAGGGTTTCTATTTTGAAACTCTTTCTGAAACTTCAGAGAGACTTTTCGTGTTCTAAGGTTTCCTTGATTTAGGGTTTGAGGATAAAAGATGTATGCTGATAGATTGGAGTCTGAGTCTGGAAGCAGGAAACTTTTAAAGGATCGAATCAATGGCGGTTCTGACGACAACTCTACTCGTTCACGACAAGTGACTGGGAAAAGGTTCTAATTTGTTTTGAAATTCAATTTATTGATCTTTACATCTTTGTGTATAGATAGATAGCTACATTAATGATCTCACTTAGCTTATGAGGACTTTTTAGATATGGAGGATGTTATCTATCTGAATTGTTCTTTGGTGATAGCTTTTGGACATGTGTATAAGGTTTTTAGTTTATTAACTGAATCTGTGAGGTTAAGAGATTGGTTTATAATTCATATTCCACTTTTTTTATGCTTCTTAGGCAAAGGCAGGACGATAAATGGGAGCATGATCTTTTCAGTAGTGACAAACCTCAACTTTCAAGTATGTTTTTTTTACTCTTTCTCACTCACCAATTCTCTTTTGGCAGAAAGCTAAGTATGACAAAAAAAAAAGTGTTTATGTTTGGTTGTTGGTTCATTCTCTGTTTGGTGATTTGCTTGGTAAGGTCGCAGAGTTGATTCTGGAGATCTTCGTGTGAAGCTCCAGAAGAGACATCATGGGTCTCAAAGTGGGAGAGAAGCTGGTTCAGGGGTGCGGGATTTACGGGAAAAGCTCTCTGGGACAATGAATGTGCAACCAAAAAACAGTGACCCGACAAAATCTAAAGTGGAGACGGTGAGACCTAGCATGAAGAGTGTAGTGACTGGACCTGCGACAGAGACTACTAGAAAAACTTCCAGTCAAGCTACCAGGAAGAAATCACAGCAGGTTATATGATTCACTTTTCTTCAACTTATATTTTTCCGTCATGTTTAAATAGTTACATTGGAAGAAAACCATTCTTCTGACTGTGCTAGCGTATGGGTATTGTCCACTACTGGTTCTTAGCTTGTTGTCATTTGGTTCAGGCTGGTGCATCGGTTGATAGCTTTCTGGAATCATTGGGTTTGGAGAAATACTCGACAGCTTTCCAAGTGGAAGAAGTATGTAATATTTTGCCTGTAGGTTGATATATACGTAAAGCTTGCTGTCATCGTGTCATCAAGCTTATGTTCTCTTCTTTTTGATCGTTCTCAGGTTGATATGGATGCACTCATGCATATGACAGATGATGACCTCAAGGCTATGCTTA